ATACCAGAGGAGGAAATTACTAAAGTATTAGCAACAATTATACGTTTCACTTCTTATTTGTTTTTACAAACAGCTTTGTTATATGAATATGTCAATAAGTTCGCGGAACGAGATATTTCTCAGAGACGACTTCGATTGACTTGAAAAGGAGGAGATTTACAATTCGACTGTATTTTTCTACTGAGCGTATTACGAGGATGGCTTGCATAGATCTTGAGAAGCTTATTTCAATAAAAGTGTACAGATCTTCACGTTTATATTGTGCATTATTTGAAAAACTATTTGAATAAATACATAGCAATTTGTAGAGATTTAACATGAATTCTTCAGAAGACTGTAGTCTAAGTAAAGGCGCATATCTTTCTTTCAATGTCACGAACTTGTAAAGCTTTTTAAACGACTTCAAAAAGGAGGGGGTTCTCAATTCGATCGATTGTTTTGAGTATGTTACGTGATTACTCTGACATTTGTGAAGCGATTTTGATGGTCCTTTTTTTGTTGTATTCGATGATTCTTTGTTTGTGTATTTCAGTAGTGATCCCATTTCAATTTGAAGAAAATATTCCACCTCTAATGGTGGCAAATTAGAGGTTGAACCCTATTTACTGAATTTCATCTACTTTCCGTTAACCGATTTCAATAAAACTTGGTAAATAGATGTAATTCCAAATGTTAAGGTGATCTAGAACTAGTCTGATGATAAAAATGGCAGACAAATGAATGGAACTGTCAATAGTTTTTTATAATATCAAGTGACGGGACGAACAAGTCGTGTGCCTGGTGGTAAACTGTACGCCTGTCCATAACAGTTGCAGTGCCACTCAGAGGTTTAAATCTTAAAAATCTTAGGGTCACTGCCATAGCAGCCGTCACTCTGAGACATAAGTCTTTTATTTTTTTTTATACCATCAAGTTGACAAGTCCCATGTGCCTGTAATTCACCAGCACCCTTACCCTTCAAAATCGGAACACAGTAATGCTGACATTACTGCTTGGCGGCAGAAATAGGTAAGGCAGTACTTCCCTGGACTCTTTCACAGGGAGCTCTACTGCTGCATATGTGCACAGCAGCTACCTTGTGTTTTTACTCATATTATGATTCATTTCGTCGAGGACTTTCGCATTTCAATTATCGTTGAGGCGATCACGGTTACGAACCACCGAAACCGAATGAACAAACTTTTGAAGTAGGTTTTTTGCAAAAATGTAATTTTTGGACCGGCTAACTAATTTAGAGCCAAGTTTTAAATAGAAAGAAAACTAATTTAGAAGGACTACACATTCACGATATGGGCTGACAGCACACGCCATATTACTATGATCCTGATGTACCGTATTTACTTCCTCCATTTGCAACTTTGAATGAAACATGAAAAAGGATTCTGTACATCAAAAAACTTCCGAAAGGAAATAAATAAATAAGCATGCAGGTATTTACACTATCAAAGCTACCGTGAAGTCACTTCCATACCTACAAGCAATTTGTCTTGTTAACTTTTACAAGTACCCCTTCGGAAGTGTTAGCAGATCGTTTGTTAAGCGGTAATTGAGTCAATGCGCAGGCAATGACCCTAATGAGCGAACAGAAATAATGCGAGCGATTTATCGGTGCGCGCGCGCACTGATTTATTGGGCGCGCCGCCGAGCTGTGCGGACGATCTGCCTCTAATCCCTACAGTAGGGCTGGGTAATTTACTAATTTGTAGAATAATATTTTAAAACTTTTTTTTAAATCTGTCTCGTCTTAACAGCCAAATGTTTGCAATAAATTTATCCTGAAGCAGTCATCTATATACTTTTTGTTAGAGTTCAATTAAATGAACGCATCATAATTTGATACAATTCGATTAAAAAAACCAATTTCTTTTGGGCATCGCAAAAAAATTAAAGCACTAATTAAAACTTCTAAAAGTGGTCAAAATATGTCTTAATAATTATGTCACTTGTTAAGTTACCATCATTATTTATTCAAGACAAACAAACGGTCACAAAACACAAATCGATTAGAACATAAGGAACTGGTATTTTACAATTTTACGTTGCTGTACTCATTTGCCCAAATCTTGTGCCAGCAAGTTCGGTATTCAATTATAGCATTTGTAAAATTTTGCCGCGGAAGTATAAAATTAAGTAATTTTGTATTAGCACGTAAGAAAAATGTACTGTATTACTAACATTATTATGGATCATGGTCCAAAATAAATAATTCAATTCTATTCTATTCTATAAATCCTAATTCGATATTCTTGTTATCTACTTTTTAGTACCACAATCATCGGACTATAATGAGACAACCCTGCGCGCATACGGAATGTTTTAAGGATCACCCGCGGCTGCACTGGAAATTAATATCTAACACTTGAGCCATCTCAGAATTTAGCTCAGTATCGGTTTACACCAACCCAAGTGTCTTAATTGCTTTATATTCATCGATTCAAATGTTGTTGCGAACATGTTGCATTAACATTAATTTGTTTCGTCTGATTTAAGTGTTTATTAAAGGAAACTGACAACTTTGGTAAACTTGGAATTGAAACAATTTTTTCGAATGCAAATCGTTTCAGGTTTTTTTTTTTCAAACCAACCAACATTTCGGGGCCTTTACAGGTTCTATGGCCACGGTTGACTGAGATAGTAAAGTCGTCAACCATATGTCTAATATTTATGCAAACCACCCTGTTTTTCAATATTCATATTGTTCAAAAGCCAGACACTTGTCGGTGTAGCTTTCTCCACTCCTCATAGTTCATAGCCAGTTTCTTGACGTCTTTATACCTGTTCAACTGGACCTTCTTATTTATTTGTTCACTATATGCCATTCTTGGTCTTTCTCTCTTTCTTTTCCCTTCTATCCTCTCATCAATTATCACTCTCACAAATTCGTCATTAAACAACAAATATCAAACATTTTCCCCCTTCTCCTCTCTATTACATTCAAAAGACTTCTCTCCTCCCGAACCCTTTCCAAAACTTCCTCATTTAATCTCTTTTCAATCCATTTTATTTTTCCATTCGCCTACAACATCACATTTTTCAATATATGTAGTTATAAAAGTTACTAATTAAATTCATCCAAAGAACATTACAATGTACGCTACACATGTTTGTTTTACAAATTATTTTATTTTAATTTAATAACATTATTTTTTATTAAGTAATTCGATTTGAGCCGAAAAAATACAGTGGTACATTATCTTACTCTGTGATACTTACATTACTGTTCTATGTTGTCATTGTAATTTAAAAAAAAATTATGTACAATAAAGAATATTTCATTTATTAGTTCATTTAAATAGTTTCATTTCCTTTATGCAACAATCGCAAAATCCTAAGAGCTCGATACATTGATAAACATTTAGACAGACTCATAAGTCAAAAACATACGACTGCAAATGCTTTATAGGAACAAAAATAAACAGCATGCCTACTCAATTACCTATACATACTAAAGCCAAGAAAGAACAAATATTCTAATAACATGAACAAAGAATCCACCAAAATCACGTGTCTAGATTAACCACGACCAAACCGTCATAGCAAAGCAACCGGAAAACATTCAATGAATTCTGATAAACTGTAAATAGTAAAGCGGAGTTTCAACCGCAGAATCTACCGGGCCTTCCAAAACTATTGACAGTGAGTGTGGATGCGATCAGACTTAAGCTATGGATTATGAGGAGCCCGAAATAGACGGTTCAAATCCGTGAGGATTAAGGGATTCCGTGTTCCGTCGGGCAGCACAGCACAAAAATACCGAAGGAGCGCCGGATGCGACGATTAGGCTAAACATTCACCTCGTTTATATTGTCTTGCACCTTTTGCCCTGTCACACATAAAGTTGTTAATTTAATATACCTGTTCGTATTTTTTTTCGATTCGGATAATTTTCTTAACATAGTTATTAATATACTGGGTATGGCCCAGTTCGATTATCAAAATTTTTAAATAATATATGTGAGTTATTGTAAAATTAAGGAGAGTGTCAAGTTTTAGTGCGCATTTTTTACATAAATGTTAGTTGTAAGAAAATCACATCACGTAGAGAACAACACCGTTTAAGGAATTTCCAATAATTTCATAGGAAAGTCAACAGGTCACTGTCACTTGTCACTGTCAATAAATTTATTACATACACATATTTTTTAAGCTGTTATTAGTCACAGATACTCTATTTATTTTTATTGAATATCATATTATTTTTTCCATGATGTTTATTATTATTGATATAAAGTCGAACACAATGAAAAATTTCTTGTTCTTGTTGAAGAAGAAATTTTTCTTGTATTTCTTAGACCTTTGTATTAATAATAACAGATGCTCTGTTTATGGACCACAAATAACTGTATTTGCGTTAGTTGCATTATTTTTATAGATATTTACGTTTTGACTTGAGTAACATTCAAAAAAAAAAGTTCAAAAAATTCAAATTCAAAAAAGCGTTAAAATACTAGTACGAAATTCAAACTGACCAACCGGCTTTAGTCATATAATTACAAACATGTAAGAATTCAAAGTAACATGTAACTTACAATTTTGTCGTAACAACAAGTGACAACAGACATAGATTTTAAATATTTAATTATTCATTTGTCGGTGGTATCAACGTTAAGAATATAATAACTTATTCGTAATTAGAAACACGACAACACTTGTACAGATATTTGAATTTAATTCTGTCATAAAGCAAAATTTCCTAATTATGTTCCGAGTTTTAAATTGTGTAAATTTGATTTTATTTATTAATTTATTAATAAGTGGATGTCTATGACATCAACGGCAAGATATGTATTATTATTTTTTTTTTTTTAAATGCGCATTTGGCCTCTTTCTTACTTGATGGAGCGTGAACACCTAAATAATGTCTATTCACTCTCGCCTTTAGAAAATCCAAGTTATAGCGTTCAGGGATTAAGTCTGCAGGCAGGGAATTCCGCTCCATATATTTATGCTGAGAAATACGACGGCATTTGTATAGACATTTGAATAAAAAATTGACTTACCCTAACTCTCGCCTCAGTTAGGTTAGTCCACATCGCGATCTCTTCCCTCGTAGACATATCAGGATAGCGGTTCCTCGCGAACGTGGCTTCTAACTCCTGGAGTTGTTGACTGGTGAAATGCGTGCGCTGGCGCCGTTGGCGTTTGTTCTTCTTGTCGCCTTTGTCGTCCATGGGTTCATCGGGGCCTATGCCAGGTGTTGTGGACTCCGTCTTGATCGTGGGCTCTGATGTTAAAGCACGATCTGGAATCAAAGAATTGACGATCTTAAAAAATACAAAAGTGCAACACGCGCGTTTTCGAATAGATTTTCATTGAAAAAATCACTTTAGAAAAAATAAAAATGGTTACTGTCCTATAGTAGGCGTTTTTAGTAAAATAAATATTTAAAAATATATATATAAGCTCTCTTTAGTCCATAATTCCACAATATGAAAAGTGTAGTTCGTTGAAGCGAAGGTTCGCCTAAAAAATTCTTGTTCACTTTGACATAAACATTTTTATATAGTTTCATTTAGTATCGCAGTATTATAAAAAATATTTGTTTTTACACAGACATAAAATGTTTTAAATATGTGCTCTTATTTTTTATTACGGTCAATTTAATGATTCTGAAGGGATACAAAATTAAATAAAGCAAAAAGTGATTTAGGTATTCTCGTAATAAAAAATAAATAAAAAATAGAATCATGGCGAACAGTAGCGCAAAGCCGCGGATTAGGCGCTCGCGCAGCTTTTATGACACCACTGTAAATTCGGCACTCGATGGTTGCCACTCTACAATATTTATGTACTGATAGTAAACTCTATTTTTAGGATGACGTGCAAGTAAGTCATTTGTGATTATAGAGATATGCGATATTGATTATATAGAAAGTTCGAAATCGAAATTGTATCTTTTGACAGTGACGTCAAAAGAACGTACAACTAGCTGAAAGTACTGTAAGAAAGTTAATACAAGGTTAATGGCCGTGTTAGGAACTGAAAAGAAAGAAAATTTCAACTGAATTTTATTTTTCAGTTTGAATCCTTGTGGCGAAATTACCTTAATTTCTAAATACGTCAAAAAGAAATAAAAAAGAAGTCAAAAAGAGAACTACTTTTGGAAAACATGTGACGTCCCCATCCCGCATTGCTAGGACGTGGAATACGGTCTTAATGCTCTACATAGGAGATATATGTGCCTTGCAGCGGGAGGGGTTGTTGATTCTACTAACCATGGCTTTTTTATTATAAGCTATCACATTACGGTATCTCTCTTCGAGATCAATTCAGGAACACAGACATCAGGAGAAGAACGAATGTTATCGACATAGACAAGGTGTTAGAAAGTGGAAATGGGCAGGCCATTTATGCCATAGACAAGACCACAGATGGGGTAGGAGAGCGCTTGCTTGAAGACCCAGAGTAGAAAGCATAGATACATACCTATAGAAGGCATATACCAATAGTAGCAGTAAAGCTCCTTGTGAAAGGTTATATCCAGAGAAGTACTGCCACCTTATTTATTTGGGCCCCAGTTTTCGTTTAACTTCAAATAAAAGAAAATTCCTAAGAACGCGTATAAAAAATATGCATTAAACAAATTCTTTTGTGGCACCTAAAATGTCTTCAGAAAGAGTTTTTCTGTGTATTTATCTCGGATCGTCATCAAGTCACTTCTAATTTTACCTTAATTTTTAATAGTTTTTGTTAGCGCAAATGATTAAAAATCAAAGACTTTAATGTTAAATAATGCTTTAATTCCATGGAAAACATTAAACTCAGAGATTATTCTGTGTACTTTCTCACGTTCCATTCTTCGAATACACCGCTATACCACTTCAACAATTGTATCACAAAAACTTATATAATGCACTCAATGTTGTCGTAAAATGGGAGGTACATTAGTGGGTGGGGACTCAGATAGAACAGTTATTATATAAATTGGTTACTGATAAAGTATAATATCAACTCGTGCATTATATTCAAAACCCTCTTGCTGTCTCTTTCTAACTGCATTGCTTTTTATTACGACATAGGTGAGTAATTACCATCAGTTGTAACTAGTATGTTATTAGGGAAAATATTTTTGTAAATATCATCACTTACACGTCGTAGGTCTTTTCTATGGAGGTAAACTTTTACATTAAATAATATTACATTTTTAAGTGAAATATTTGGCTTTAATTAATTAATAGATCTATACTAACATTAAATGGGTCTGTATGAAGTACGTCAATGAATAAATGTATATTATTATTTTGATATCGCTTGTGATATCTCGAGCAGAATGGTTTGGTCTCCATTATTATTTTTATACAGCACATTGAATAACTAGGGCGGTAACTTTTATAAACGTGATATATTTGTCTCTAGTTTTGGGCGGCAAAGTAACTACCTTTCTGCAAGACGTAGTTAATTTCATAATATCTGTCAAATTACATAGACAACGAGAAACAAAATACGAAAATGGCGGAATTTTAAGTAAAGTAAGAAAAGTAATGCTCGAAAGGAAAAGACTGAGACTAAGATTTTTTTGTGGATAAATAAATCATAGGAAAATACGTGAAATCATTAAGTAATTAACGAAGAGAGAAAGTCATGTCTTCAATAAGTAAGAGTCTTTTTTTTTCGAAATACATTTCAAACATGAAAAAGTAATTAGTGTCGTAACTTAACAACTGTTAAGAGTAAACACTTTTAAGTTACTTAAAATGTGTCAAATAAAGTCAGTTCGTAACCAACCATTGAGCATTCAACTAGACCCCAACACACGTAACTTTACATATACAACAGAGAGTTGGGGGTATAATAGTACCCACGCGGGCCAAATTCGGATTGGGAACTTCAAGGCATAGTTAAATTGCTTTGCAGATGTGTGCAGGTTTCCTATTGATGTTTTTCGTCACCGGAAAGCTTATAGTACATTTGAAATTAAATTCCGAAAAACTCAGAGTTGCAAGCCCGGTTTCAAAGCCATGACCCTCTGCTTGAGAAGCGGTAGGTCAAACCACAAACCATGGCTACCACAGGTGTATTATAGGCAGACCCACACGATAGTGCAATATTCTTTTTTTAAAAATTCCATTATCACGTTGTAGACAGTCATACGAGAAAGTTCACAATAGCTTTTTGACAAGCAATCCCCGGATGCAGGTTTTTTCAATTTGTGTCTTGTCTGTAGTCTTGTTCCTGAATATTTATTTTATTTTAAATCGTAGGTTCATTTTGTTATATGCATACATTTATTTTGTTATTAATTTGTATTTACTTTTTTATAGTATTGCATTTCAAATAAGGTGATTTTTTAAAGTATTGCTATTTCTCCTGTGAGCATATCACGCTCCAACATTAGAAGTCCAATATTATGAGAAGATAGGGTTAGGCGTGGTAAGAGGAATATCGGGGTAAGAGGCACTTGAAGCCTTAATTTATAATTTATTAATTAAGAACTAAGTCAGAGATAAAAGAGACGAACAAATTACTTTAAACGATTTCAAAGAGATGTCGCTACGATAATGTTCCAAATCCAAACGGCAGCAAAAAAACGTACCTATTTGACAGTTGTAAAATCTTAAGATCACGAGGTTAATAATAATAGAAAATAAAGTTGCCATGAATGTACATTTTCGAAGTGACATGGTTTGTTAAGCAAAACCCTAAGCCTCTTTAAAAAAAATTACAGATGTACATAATAGAGGTGTACAATAATAACCTAGATTGTCTTATTACAAAAATAAATGCAATGGTACCTATCGATGTCCGAATTTATAATGCTCTGCCAAAAGACATGAATTACAACGTTACCAAATAATAATTATTCAGAAATTGATTTAGTGTATGGCTTAGAGACAAAAATTATTACAAAGTGACTGATCTTTTATATAAATGTTGACATGAAATAAGTGCTTAAGTTTTATTTTTTTTTTTTCATTTAAGTCGTGCGCCTGGTGGCAAGAGACACGCCTATCTATAGCAGTTGTAGTACCACTCAGAGCTTTAAATCGCAAAGATCTTAGGGGTACCGCCACTGCACTCGTCACCCTGAGACATAAGTTTACAAGTCCCATGTGCCTGTAATTTTGCCAGGACCCTCTGGGCGCGCCGCGCGAAAACTTTCACCTCGTGTAACTGGGCTCTTACTCTTCCAAACCGGAACGCTGTAGTGTTTACATTACTGCTTGGCGGCAGAAGTAGTTAAGGTACTTCAGTACAGCAGTACTCCCCTGGACGAACTCTATCACAAGGAACTCTAGTACTACTAATGCAAATTAATGTATATGTATAATGTAATATTGATGTATAATATTTTTATATCTTAATATAATAAAAGTTTAACGTTGAGAGTTATTACGTTAGCACAATTTGCACGTTTTCGGCAAATATATCGTAAGTATTCAATTTAGCGTAATGATTGTTAAAACATGTAAAGCTGATATACAAAGTCAAGTTTAGTGTACATAAAATACTTTTTTTAATGTTGTTTTATTCACAAGTAAAATTTTACAAAAAATAAACTCAAAACAGCTAAAAAATACCATTAAAAGATTTATGTATCGCTGCCATCACTTTTTTAAATTACATTACATTAAATTTCACAATTTGATAAATGCATTGATTTAAGAATAGTTTTACATTTTTCTGGTTTACCTAGATTTTTATCAAAACGTCACTTGGTAATTTATTAAGCAGTAATGGTAACATGTGTCTCCATACACGCTTTCCATAGTTGTTATGGGGTTTGTAAAAACAAAATTACACTATTACGTGGGCCTGTCTCTAACGGAGCTTTCAGACATATCTACCGCTGAAGAGTTTTGAACAGAAGAGTTTTGAACAGTTTTTCAATTAATATTTTTTTTAATAAAACATTAAGTGCGCGTTTGAACTCCATCTCACCTGATGGAAAGTGATGATGAGGTCGACGATGGAATATGCACAATATTCAAGTTTACAATGTGTATTCTAAATATGTCTGTTGATTCTTACATTGATGAGCATGTCTAGTGGCATTCGTTTTTTGTGGATCCTAAAATATAAGCTGTCAATACGCTGTCATGGACAATAAAGTTTTTACCTATTTAATTTTTTTTAGTAACCAACTATTTCTTCATTTCTCCAATAAAATTGCTCGAAAAGTCAAACTTTATATAGCGGTAATCAAAAAAAGGCACTCATCGCACTCGAACAATTTGCTAATCCTGTTGCACTTATTTCTTTTTTTAATAATTTCTACAAGTCGAATTTAAAAGTTTACTGACACGTACAGTGGAAATTAATTTGTTACACACTTTTTTTTGGTACTCGAATAATATGCCATAAGGAAATCGCGCTGTATGTTCAATATTAGGAGAAGTTACAGGATTTTTTTATTAAAAATTAGTGCACATTTGGTCTCCATCTCGCATGAGGTCGACGATGGAGTATGCACACCTAAATAATGCCTATTCAATCTCACCTTAAAAAGGCCCAAGTTATATTGTTCAGGGGACCAGTCTGTCGGCAAGGAAATATAACAAAATCAACAGCCAAAGTTTGGAGTAACTTGTACAGCTTTGATACGACAGCACGTGCAATATTACAATTTACAACACACATATTAATACATTTATTAGTGCCATAAATATAGAATAGTCATAAATGAAACTTCATAATACAATCTTGTGATCATGAAATACTATTGGAGCTATCGCATTGATACCATCGCAGATAAGCTATCGTTGTCATTCGTGTGTTTTATAACGTGTGAGATTAGCACATGTTGTTTTAGAATGTTATCTTGATTGAATAGTTATTAGAGTTTAATCGTTATGCCCCAAATTTATTCCTCGGGTTTCTCCAAAGTATACAGAAATTAAACCCTGTGGGTGGTTTTGGCGATAAGAAAATTAACATCTATTGCAATTGATAAAAATAAAATCGATTCGCATTTTTATCTTTACTTAGCACCCAACGAAAAAATAGGGATGGGACAATATTGACGTCATTGTGGTCCGGTGTAACTGTTACATGTATTTGCTTGCCTTGGTTTTTTAGTTTTTAGGCCCGTTTTTGGGTAATTTAATCATATTTTTGTTTGTGATACCTTTTACTTTCGTTTCTACTTTTAGACGTTACATAACTTTGTAAAACTGCAACTGCATCAATACCTTACTTTCTGGACCCACAAACAGACCTCTATATAACTTGTTTCCTTGTAATGAGTTCTGAACAATTCTGATGTGTGATTAATTCTATCAACTATTTCGATAGGCTGAATGGTTTAAAATCAGTGTTTTTTAGTGTACATACGAATATAAAAGGGAAAGAAAAACAGATTAACTTTTGAAAAGTGCATTTGTATTATAAAATCTATGTTTTTAATGAACTGTTTAATATCTGTAACAGGTTAAAATACTCGTTTTTTTGTTCATTGTTTATTCAATAACCATTAATTACTGAATAAACAATAATAATATAAGAATTACTAGCGAAATTATTGCAGAACATAATGAAATTAATTTAAAATCAATGTAAGCATATTTTTGGTCTGCATTAAATTGTATTAAATGTATCCAAAGCTCTTTAATTAAATATTCGGTAATAGGAATCAATCAATGTACGTAGTACCGACATTACCAGATACAATTTAAAAAATATCACGCCACTTTTAATTAAAATATTTGTTAATTAAAAATAGCTACTTCAACTAGATAGCCATCTACTTAATTACAGTTTATTAAAATCATCAATCTGTAAAGCTAGCAATCTCATTGGTCTATAATGAACAAGGTGGGATTATGGTCTTGTGGAGTTAGGCTGTACGCTACCGCTGTCGTTCGATAACGATAGTGGAGAGATATCGAGCCGATATCGTGGTGATAGCATGTCGATAGGGATGCTTTGAGGTAGCGCCGACCCATCCGTCATTCGCTGGAACCTTTGGTTACTCGCCGCCGACACGTCGTCGACAAATAGCCCGGTGAACATGTGTTACCGGTATTAGTACACGGCCACTTCACACCAACATACAATTTTTGATATTCTCGATAACACCGCTACATTTCCTTTTAATTATTTACATAGAACCGTACATAATGAGCTATTTTCGTGTAGTCAAACTTATCGACGCCAACTGGCTACTTTAAATATTGAATATTCATGACCTTAATAAAAATATTTGCCTTCATGAGCAAACACGAGATACATAATACCGTAGTATATTGATACATGGCGTTGTATAATGACACTTATACATGAAATATATTAAAAAAACTGAGTTCAAATTTCTTTAAGTTGCCGTTAAAGTCTATGAAGCTGATTCCTCCGTCTACGGAAAACAACACTAAAATTTCAAACAATAGAGATGCTATATCGAAAGGTTTTGAAATCTCTATTAATACTCGTTTAGTCTTTTAGTCACGTGAGTTACGTCTACCATAAATACAGGATGAAATAAAAAGGTCCAAGTTCTTTTTTGACGTAAGTTATCTCGTAATATCATTACTGGCAGAAATACAGGTCAAAAAAGATCTAGTTGAGACAGAGTTTTTTTCAAAACGGGAAGGTAAAAGTCCCTTTCAAGAAATCATCAAATCAAGAAAGCTTTACCTAAAATGTTACAAGGTCTGTTGCGTTTAGATAAGGTTCCAAACAAATTTATACACACTGTGTTATAAATTCTCTAAAAAACAGATAAAAGTATATCCTGAACGCATCTACCAGATAAGAATTGGTAGAATTTACTTAATTAAAGTGATAAGCTCTATTGTTATCCGGCGCAGCACGGAATTCTACACCACTATATTCACATTTTGCTAACGAATTTTTTTCCTTAGTGTTACAGTTATTCTACGTGTTTTAATTTAAGTTCAGATAAAAAATAGATTAGAGTAGGGTTTTACAGTTAAGTATTTAATAAAAAAACAAATAAGAACGGCTTTCTGTACAATACAAAATTTAATTTTCTCTCACCGAATTCACTTTAAAACAAGAATTTCTTTCAATAACTTGTTTATTAAAAAAAATTAAAATTTTGAAAATGGAATGGCGTAGAGTTGACCGTGCGCGCGTGTTTGTGAAAGCATTAGGATACCGCGCGCGTATTTGCCATGGACTCTAGCGCTTACCCGTTTACTTTCAATTTTAAGTTTGTCACAATGTGTGGTCTACGTCAAATTATGAATATTCTTGATATTGCGTTATTAAATACAGCTATCTCGTTTTAAGAATGGCGCTTATTACTTATCATTGTACATACTGCTATAATAAATGTATTTATCTATGTCCATAGCAACTTATGTACGTATTTGCACAACTATGTGAGTACAAGTATCTATTGTTGCTACTACATTCATCGTATAATTTACGTTACCGCTATAATCCTAGTATGTGCGTACTTGAATAATAATAGAAAAAAATCTTAAAATTTATCTAATATATTCTTCAAAGTTTTAATATAGTTATACATTTATATTAGCCATAGATAATTCGATATTTAGGGGAAACAAAAGGCATTAAAGCAAAAGCAATTTAAACATTTAGAATATGCTTTTTTAAATTGTGCACTAAATTTCTACTAATTGAGCTCATGAGACTGTCTGTGTCAGCTCAGCATCTTCGATTCAGCCTATATAGCACAGCCATATATATACGCGCGACCAGTTGTGAGGTCACCCGCACTAATACTTTACGAATTAAAGGCCTTCGCCTAAGAGGCGCCAAAATTATGAAATATGAACTATTTAGTTTAATAATCAATAAATTCGTAATTTGAATGAATCGACAATGAATTAATATAGTTGGGTTGAATTTTCATGCTCTTTCTGTGGCGTATTCATAATTTTGTTATCCAACAATAATCCACGTAAACATGGTTGAAATAAAAAAATATTTGAATCAAAAATATTGATTTTACACCACTTATTAACTTTATCCTTTAAATTTTACGCCTTTTTCGTGCTAAAATATTGAATTATATCCATGAGTATACTAGGTTGGTTAGTTTATTAACAGTCCTACTACATTTTCCAACACTTGCGGGGTATCCAGTGGTTACAAAAACGTATACTCACTGTCGTCGGCACTCTTACGGTCGCGCCTCGGTCGTGGCGGCGCGTATAGCGACGATTGTTCGATGCCGGACCCACCTGACGCGAGGGACGAGTGCCCGCTGTCCCGAAACTCGCCTGTCTCTGCCCATACTGTAACAAACAATACACGATAAGTGAGCGTGCGGACATATTTACATTTGAACATCGTCAACAAAGGTAGATAACAGTGGGATGTATATGTTTGACACGGGCCTCTTCTAAGACAAACGTTTAAGCTATATTGTAGTCTTGGTGAACTATGGCCAATTGCAACAGCTTCCGACATCCAGGACCAGTCCCGGAACTGTTTTTCGGTAAAGCAAGTAGAAAGTAGGAAAGTGGTGGTGGGAATAAAATTAATAAGGAAAATCGGCCTTTTTTATATCAAGTGAAGGGACGAACAATTCGTGCGCCTGTAGTCAGCGACATGCTTTTGATTAACTGTTGCAGTGCCACTGAAAACTTTAAAATCGCAAACACCTAAGGAGCTCTTTCTGCCACTGAGTCTGTCACTCTGGCACATATAGTTAACAAGCCCCATGTACTTGTAATTTCACCTGCACCAGACGTAACCGTAACGAAGTAATGCTCATATTACATTTTTTATACCAAGTGACGGGACGAACATGTCGTGCGCGTTGTGGTAAGCGACACGGCTATCCATAGCAGTTGCAGTGCCACTCAGAGCTTAAATAGCAAATATCTGTCCGTCACCCTGAGGCAAAAGTTGACAAGTCACATGTGCCTATAATTTCACCAGCACCCTTAATCTTTAAAACCGAAACGCAGTAATGCTCACATTGCTGCTTAGCAGCAGAAATGGATGCCAGTACTTCCTTGCTAGAAGTCTTTCACAAGAAACTCTACTACCACAAAAAAGTATTATGGCTGAACAATTCCAAGATTTTACCCATACGGAGAGACGCGAGACAAAAAAAATTACGGGCGACAAAAGTGGCGTTGAAAATGGAAGTAGGAGTAGTTGTCATCAATGAATTTAAAACAAAAAGATTTTATAAGGAAGGAGATTCAATTTTAATTAGTCATAATAATACCAATACATTCTAACTTTTTGATATTATAATAGTAAGTGCTACGAACCTAGGCAACCATTAAACGACTGTTTAGTTTCTATATAGCTTTCAATTAATTTATTCAAGTCTCGGAGAAGCGTCTAAGTGGAGCATAAACTCAATTAACATTGTTAATAGACTTATTAGAGTAACAGCTTGACGAAGTAACGCGTACACGTTAAGGAAATGATGCCCCGTCGCTTACGGGTAACTAAGTGTTTCTAACACTTGTTAAATAATTAATCACAGGTGACAGTGTATGTATGTCGACTTTATTAATAGACCCGGGTGTACTTGTAAAGTTTGACACAACAACAGAGAAAACAATATTTTAATTATTTCAACATGTTTATTTTGTGATAAAAAGTCAAGTTGTGATTTCGTAATTTGGTAATGAAACGTTTGATTTGATTGTACTGTAATTAGGGGTGATCAAAATAGCTCAATTACTGATCAAGATGTCGGGTTGCAATAAGCCGCTCTATCAATTCTAATTTTCTTTTTTCGTGATTAATAAATAGCAATAAAGTATTGAGTATAGCTGACGCACATATATTTGTCGTATCCATTTTTTTTTATTTACAAAAAGAATAACTTATTAATCCTCCTTTCTAATGCGGACGGCAAAGAAATGAAATACTGTACTGTGTCGAGTTCTGAGGTTTTCGCGATTGTTACACATAGGAAATGAAACTATTTTTCCCGGATTTAATTCCTGTATATTTATAAATACATAAACATAAATTAAATAGTAATTAAATCGTATAATAAAACAAATATACGATTTAAATAAAAATAAAAAGCGATTTAAACCCTGGAAAAATAGTTTCATTTCCTACTCAACTGTATTTCCCGAAAAGTACAATTTGGAGCTATTCAAGGCTAAAGTGAATATGCTTTTTTTAGGTAAACGCGTACCATCGTCGGGCACATCGCAGCTTAACATCAGGTGAGATTAGGATCAAGCGTGTGTCTATTATATATTAAAAAAAATTAAAAAATAAATTATTTTGGCGGCCCACCAAAAACATGAGTATGTTTGTCGGTTCTCTGCAATTCATTTCGAGCGCATTGTAAGCTCGTAACGAAGGTGGCAAACGGGCCTACCCACTTCTACAAATATCACACGAATTAAAGGCCACCGAAAGAAGATGCAAGTAAACAATTAACTACTTTCGGAATAGTGTCAATAATAATTCTTGCTAATTAACTGGCTGCCTACCCACCGGCGTAGAGATCTTCATAATCTTTCCCTTGTTTACTCAATTCTATTCTGTCCCTTTACGCCTTGTTATCTAAAAGATCGCTTTACTTTCCACTCTTCTACACTCTGCCGTCCCCTTCGCTCTTCTGATACTATCTTACTAAACATTATCTGTAATTTTTATTCCAACTCTTTTGCCGTTTCTGCGATCAAACTATGGAATGCTCTCCCTGGAACCGATTCAACGTTCCCCTTCTCTTGATTCCTTCAAACAATGTCTACGATCACTTCCTCAACTCCTGAGTTTCGTTTTTTCTTTACTATCCTTTCATTTATTTTCTATACTTATACTTCATTTATCTTATTCCTTTAAAAGTATGTAAGCATTTAATATTGTTATTTATGTATTGTTATGTATTAATAATATTTGTATTTATTATCTATCTACGTATATTATGTATTGTACTTATAATATAACAATATTCTTTGGTTGCACTTCTTTTACATATACCAAATTTCTATCCTAAGAACACGTGGAAGAAATTGCTACATAGCAATAAGGCCGCCTGCTGCACATTAACTTGCTCTCTTTATACTTAAGTTATTGTATGTAAAATTATGTGCAACAAAGAATATTTCATTCATTCATTCATAATTAATTGTCAGGTTATTTTTAATTTTTGGCGAAAATAAGTTAATAATATTTCAACCTGAAGGTCGGCCAAAATGGCATACATTGGGGAACTGTTATGTCCTACAGCGGACTGTAATATGCTGATGATGATATGATATTTTGAGATATTATTTTTAATTTAACGTTACTCACGTTTGTCCACAATCTCATCTAATGCAAGTGATAGCTCGCCTAGAAGATACCTACCTATTTATACCTGAGATAGTGTATAATTAATACTTGGATGTGGGATATGTCTGTACGTAGCCGCTACACATTTCCATAGCAATAGAGCTCTTTGTGAAAGGGTTCGTCCAGGGTAATACTGCCACCTTACCTATTTCTGCCGCCAAGCAATAATGTCAGCATTACTGTGTTTCGGTTTTGAAGGGTAAGGGTGCTGGCGAAATTACAGGCACATGGGACTTGTCAACATAGATCTCAGGGTGACGGGCGCAGTGGCAGTGCCCCTCAGATCATTACGATTTAATGCTCTGAGTGGCACTGCAACTTTTATGGACAGACATGTAGCTTACGATCAGGCAAATGACTTGCTCGTCCCATCACTTGATATTATAAAAAAAAACGGTTACTTTTGCTACGCAAATTCTGGTATTGTATACAATTTTTTTTTATACAATTTTTGTTTTATAAAACTATAATAATTTTTTTTTAATTATTAACTAGGACATCTTCAATAACTGCAAAACAATTAAACGAATGTACGGAAGACTTTCGTATTGTTAATTTCTTTGGACTTGTTTTGCTCTGTTTATTTAAAATCGTTGTCAGTTGTAAGCCCGTTGTTTTGGGAAAAGTCACGTTCCGACAGTCCATTGCTGAATGTGTATAATTAAATTTAAAAAACTCAAGTGAAGTATGTAAATAAAACACTGACATTACTAACTTATTAAATTACGCCCAACCACAATTGTACAATTGTACAACTTGTTAAACCGAGAGGTGGAGACCAGGAGCCCTAAGGTAGTAGGAGCCTCTCGTAGTTTAACATCCTAGTTCTTGCAAATATTAATATTTAAACAGCGTTCCATTAGCCTGTAATAATTTATTGAGGGAGATTTTTAAGTTATATACAAGGGCTTGTTAAAATTAAAATCAAGTTTGTTAATTAAAAAAAACTAGAAATAAAATTTATTTCTAGTTTTATTTATGAGTAGTAATGTAACTGAAAAACAAATATACGAGATTTAAATTTTTTTAAACAGTAACATTACCAATAAACAAATATTATAATATCGCGTATATTTGTTTTTTCAAACAAACCAAGGTTTGGCGCCCTTTACATGGCCCATTGTCACGGTTAACTGAAGTGGTAAAGTTATCAACCATTATTTCACTATAGTTAGTAATAATATTATTTTTAATTTTTCATGCTTTGTTATTACAAGGTTAAAATTTTTTTGGCGCCTTGCCCAATTTGTTGCTGGAATTCTTCTTCAAAAACAAAAACATCAATTTCTAATGCAGCAGTATCACAAATGAGCACCGTTCTCTACTATACGGTGCCTTCAACTGAATTAATATGTTCTAACATCGATATCCTACTTAATGTGTGAAAACACAGGATTACGTATAAATCAGTAGAAATTCAGGGAATCAAGTATGGTATTACGGTTTTATACATTTGTATTCCTGGTACAAACGCTTCACCCAAACGATAATCAAAATATTGTAATGTAGGTGAAGAGAACAATTACATGCGTTATCTGAATAGAAGAGTCGGCGCATGAAACGTACTCGCAGACGAGTTCAAATAAATTCAATGTTTGCTTGATAAGGCGATAAGCTATTGTTTTATTGCCGCGGTAAAACTCGAACTCGGTTTATTGTAATGATGATCACTGGTAAGTGCAAAAGTGGACATGATTTGATTTAAGATTCTAATTTACGATTAAGGCATTTTTTTTTAAATCTCAAGTGACGGGACGAGCATGTCGTGCACCTGATGGTAAGCAACACGCCTGTCCATAATAGTGGCAGCGCCTTACCCTTCAAAAGCGGAAGGCAGTAACGCTAACATTACTGCTTGGCGGCAGAAATAGATGAGATGACAGTACTTCCTTGTACGGACTCTTTCACAAGGATCTCTACTGCTATTCCATCTTTAATTGACGACCAAACTAAAACCTGCACGCTTGAG